ATATTATAATTTAAATTTTATTATTTCTAAAAAAATTTTATTTATTATTAATAAATAAACCTTTCTAAAATTTAATTTAATTAAATGAGCACATGCACATAATTAAAATTACTTGAAAAAATAAAAATTCATTTCAATTCTATAAATCCCCAAATTAAAATCATGCATGTATTATTATTGTTAAAAATAAAAATAAAATTTTTTATTTTTTTATACGAAATAGTAAAAAAATACGTAATTTAATAATGATATTAAGTTTTTTAAGAAATAATAAAATTTAAATTATAATATTGATTGTTGTAAATTAAAATTAGAATCTTGATCAATATAAATTAAAATTATTATCTTAATTAATTATTATATTTGACATAGAATTTAAATTTCAAAAACAAAAGATTACAAAAAACAAAAATATATGTATTATATTTAATATTTTTTAAAAGTTTAGGGGGGTCAGCTTATAAAGAATTTCGTTAATCAGTTAACAGAATGTTTGTCAAGTAGACCATTTTGAAATAAAATTGATAGTTTATAGATCAATTTGAAAGAAAAAATTATTTCTAAACTAAACTGAAATAAATTATATAGTTAATAAACTATTTATTGAATTTAACCGATTATAGCAGTTAAGGACTTGGTCAATAATTTGACCTTAAAAAACCAAAGAAAAAAATTGGCACGTGATTGACTATTTTGGAAATTCTCTATTGGTACCCATAATTAATATACCTATAAGTTTTGGTAATGATGCACTTTTTCTTAATATTACAAGAAAAATTTTGTTATAAAATAAAATTGTATATATCTCTTTTATTTTTTATTTTTTTTACAAGAAAAAATTATTAAATTACGTGTTAATATCTGTTGCTGTTAGTAAAGGTCAAACATGGAGTTGGGTGTATTCCAATTGCTGCCTAATGAGCAGCGTGACTACCACTGGACCACATGAGATATTGCTATCTCTTTTATTTTTTAAAATATAGAATGCATGCTTCAACGAGTGAAGTCAAACATATCCAAGTTTATAATAAATTGTTTTCTTACCTAACTAATATTGCAATTTTCAATTCATATTAAGATGAGAGAAAGGTCGAAGCATCCAAACTAAAGTTATTATTGTTATTATTATTGATCGGCGGCATTCTAGCTATTGCACATGTTAGGCGGCCATGATAAAGAATTAAAAAGCTAAAATGAACTACTATATCTGTATGGAAGTTTCTATATCTGTCACCTTTTGCTTCTGCTTGAATTTTTGGCTGCGTATTAGCTCATCTTTGAATTTGCAGTCTTTGAAAGCTGATGTTCGGGCAAATTAATTAGTATTATATATATAGAAAAAATATATTCATATATTGATTGTTTGTGTAAACATGGTCTATTTAATCCGTCTACATTCTAAAATTAGTGTTGAAAAATGTTTGTATGTTGAAAAGAGATGACTCTATGTAATTAGAGGCTAAATTAATTTTAAAAACTTCAAATGGTTTGTTTTAGAATTTTTCTTTGAAACGTGCAATTTTTCAAAAGCTTATTTATTGTTGCTTTAGAATTTTTCCTTTTTCTTTAAAACGTGCAATTTTTATTGCAAGGGAAATGACAATTTGAAGCCCCCATTTGGGGATAAGTGGGTTAATACACCCCAACTACTTATAAGTACCTTGAAGGGACAGGTGCCATTGTTGCTTTAGATTGACAAATAATTAATTTTATATTTTAAAAATAAATAAATAAATATATACTTATATATATATATGAAGTTATTATCTATTTGACTTACCTCTTAAAATTTAAGAAACTAATTACTTTAAAATTAACTTATTTTAATAAAACACAACTAAAAATAACAAAAAATACTAATTCATGCTTTAAAAAAATATAGTATTTTAAGAGAGGGCGAGAGGATGAGAGGACGGGAGAGGCAGAGGCAGCAGGACAGTCAGAGAGGCAGGATTCGACGGATGGCACAAAGTCGCGAGTTTGTTGGCTACCGAGGGTTTTTTCAACAACAACATGGCAAACAGGGGATTCCAACTAAACGCAAAGCTTACGTTCCCTGGGGTTATGATAAGAGATCCTACAACCAAGCTGTGGCTTATTTCTTCACCAATTTT